AACCTAAAACCCTTCGTGCTATTACAAAAGCACCTTTTTACGTATCTAATCAGTCCTTACACAATGACCTTGCCATCCCACCCGTCCTCGATGTAGCTAGAACTTTTTACAGGCGATTCAAATTAAAGGTTCAAAACCACACCAATCCCTTAATAAAAGGTCTTGCGTCAGAAAATATACCTGGTAACACCAGGAAAAGATTAAAAAGGCGGTGGTGTCGGGATCTACTAATCTAAAAACTTTTAATTGTAATATAATTGTATTGTAATATAATACTAAACCTATATATTTATGTACATAAGTAACTGTCAAAGTGCCTTTACTGAAAGGTTTCTTTAATCTGTGTTTCACTCAAGCCATTATTCTCTCATCACTTTTACTCATTGTTCTATTCTGTAACTGATTGTAAATTATATAAATAAAAAAAAAAAATCGATAGGTTGCCAAACTAGAATAGTACGAAAATTTAGTCCAAGAACCGCGCTGATTTATATAAGGCCGTGTTCTCATTAAAAACAACTGATGACGGCAACGCGATAGAGATTCTAGTCGTTTTAGTTGGATTGCCCAGTTGTTCCCATCTAAAAAATTAATATGAAACTTCAATGCAACTTCAATGCTATAATAATACATATATAATACTATAATTTAATTTAACTTAATTTAATATATATGTCTTACTTTTAATTTTATTTATTTAATAAATAATATAATGAATCTATTTTGTATCTATATTGTACCTGTATATACATTGTTTATACAAGATTAATTAGTAATTACGTTTTTGATTTTTTGACAACATTTACTTACTAGAATTGTTCGTTTTTTTTTAAGTATCATTCCATGCATTTTCTTTTATGACTTGTCGAGTGTAATTAGATGATGTTATATCATAAAGACATGGGTGACTTTCTTTAAATTGTACGAAAGCCATATTATCTTCTTGTTAATTTGCCATTTTAATAAATTATTAACAAAATATGAAATTGATTGTACCTTATTCATTAATCATAATTATTCATATATCATTAAAAATTAAATGTATGTATAAGTATGTAAAAGTATGTAAAAATTACATTTTTAATGAAATAGTAATGTACTACCCATAATTTATATGTAGTGTAGGTACACCAGAAGGGTGCTAGCAATAAAAGTATGGTCGTCCTCTTAAAGATAGCGAGCAGAGCTCACGCCTAGAGCTTCGCGCTTTTTACTTTTTTTTAAGGTTTCGCCATCAAAAAAAAAAAAAAAAAAATTGTATATGCCCTTAGCTGGGTCTCACAAATCCTAAGGATGGCCTTGTTTAAGAGCGACCTAAGTTCTCAAAAGCAGTATTTAGTATTTTTTGACCTGTGTAAAATATAATATATATAAAAAATATATTTTAGGTTATGAGTAAAATAATATAATGTAATATTTTAATAATTGCGTACTAATATAACTATATACATTCTTTATAGTAGTTATAAGGATTTAAATATTAATAGTCTTGAAATATAAAAAAAAAAAAAAATGACATCTTTTATGAAAGCAAAACTACAAACAGTAACTTTATACATAGATCCTGAACCTCCACATAAGTTTTTCTCGGTGAGACTCAGTAATCTTCATGAAATTAATTTAAAAAAAATATATATTTGTATATTTAACTTAGTATTTCATTTTTTGTTCTCATAATCATAATTAAAATGTACTTAATGTTATTAAATGTTAACTGTATGTATCAGAGGTTTCCAACCTTTTTTGAATCACGGTACCCTTTATTATTTTCTAAAAATTTTGAGGCACCCTATAGCCTATGCCCTATTCTTTATAGTTTATACTGAATACACAATACTAATATATCGTATATTTAAATTTATATTTTGTAACTTCGGTTTTATTTAGCATTAATAAACAATAAAGATAAGTGTAAGATAAGTTACAAGTATTTCAACTTAAATAATTTTAAAACAGTTCACATCTAATCGATAGCAATCAAACCAGTATGAAAATTAAAATAGATTGAACATCTCAGTATAACCATGGATTAAATATACATAGTTTATAGTATAGTATATTTAATCTATGGTATAACTATGTAAAAATTATATGTGTTAATAATTAATTCATTAAATTATATTGCTTATACCTAATTAATTATAGGTACACAATAGGTTTTATACTATTGACATAGAGTATAGTCTGTTTTATTACTCGCAGTGCTATATTTTTCATGAAGGCATTTAAAAATAAATATATATTTCAAATATTTTTGCGGTATCCTAAATTTAATCTCGCAACACCCTGGTTGGGAACCTCTGGTATGTATGTTTCAAATATTTGTTTTTTATATGCAAAATGTTAAAAGTTATAATTAATGTATTTCCACAGGTGTTTTCATAATTTTTTTTTGCAAGTGATTTTTTGGAATGATTTATTTCTTTACGTATTATCGTTTATGTTTTTTTTTTTTAATAAATAAAAGTATAGTTTTAAAAACAAGTGTTTTATATTTACCTTTTGTTACAAATTATAATTCATTTTATAATTATTTGCTAATATTTAATAATTTATTTAACAATATTTATGTGCTACTAAAGTAAACTAACATAAAAAATTTTTTTTTGTATTAGTAAATAGTAAAACCTACAAAATGTATTATTTTATTGAGTTATTTTGCAGTTAAGAAATTGATTATGAAATCATCTCTCATTAGATAATATATTTTCCAGGGCTAAGCGCTTAAAATCGTTAAAATGTGTATATACATTTGCACATAAAAATATTAAAATATTCGTTTAAAATATTTTTTTTATATTCGTAGTAATAATAAAGTATAAAAATAAAAATAATAATATAATTTAAAAATTATTAATTTTTTAATTAAATATAACATTTGACATAAATAATTTATTAGATATCCATAGAAAGATTTTAACTTAGTTCTAAATTTAACTATCAAAAAATAAAAATATATGAACCATTTCCATGAACATTTTATGAAATTTTTTTAAATGCACTAAAATATTGTTATAACTAGGTATGTGAAATATAAATAAGAAAACTTAAAATAACATACATTTTAAATTAAATAAAAGTAAAAAATATACAAAATATTATATAAATGCTATAAATCTAGTTTCGAGTCTTAATTTAGCCATGAACAACATTGCAATTAGCAATAATATAAAATATTATTATTGTACTTGCCTGGATGGATAAATCAGTTCATAAATCCATACAAATGTATTGAAATAGGTAATAATAAAATCAAAATATTTTGTCAGTAGTTACCCTGTATTCATCATTTATCAATAAACATTAAATACAAGCATTCATTATATACTATAAAATATGATTAATTATAAAATTAATTAATTAAATTAATATGATACAAGTCAATCGATTAACATTTTATTAGCATTAAAATAAAACTAAAATATAAATTATTTAGATAGCGACACTTAAATTTTTAGCAACAAACAATTAGTACCAAATAAAAAAATGTTAAGCGTTACTTGGATGAATACCGTATTTATAATTGATAATGGAATTATAAAATAAGATATTTATAGCTTGTTGTATAAATTCTTGGTGTTCTTGCTAAGCGCATTTATCATAAGCGAAACTACGGGTCAGGCCAGTCAGGCCATGGCCTGACTTAATACTAACGAAAAATATGTATATATTATATATTTTGATAATTATTTAGGCATTATAAATAATATATTTATATATGTAAACGTGTACATTTGTACTTTCATATAATACTATAATATAATATAGTTTATAGGTACAATTGGTGCAAATAAGGATTATAATAGAACATAATAAGTCTGTTATATGTATTCGAATAATCGTTTTTATTAGTTATTGTTTAATTTAGACATTATTAATTATAATATAAAATTATATTATAGGAAATAATAGTTCATTTTATATAATAATGCTTTTTTTATTTTTCATTTGACCTTACCTAATAAAAGTTTCTAGTTTCGCCTATGGTATTTATTATAATAAATATACATTAAACCTAGATATATTAATTTTAGGGTTATATTATATTATTACTACCCTTCTATCTATCAATTATAATATATATTATCTACTAAATCTTTATCCAATCCAGGGAAAATAAAAATGTTTCTTATTTATAGTTGCTGGAGTATCGAAATGGAGGAAAAAATCTAAATCAATACATAGGTGTACATAATTTATGTAATATAAAACTAAATATCTCATTTATTGTGGTACTTATATAACTTATATTATGTAGAATCCCAACAAAATACATACAGTGCAGTCGGAAGACTTTGGAATGTTTAAATAACGAACCTACTCTTGTTTTGTGTTATAATTAATACATATGGCTATATATCCTGTTGACTGTCATGAGTACATTATTATGTACACAGCGTGTTTGTCTGTGAGGCCTCACTAATTTTTATTGCTGTACCTCGTACGCCACGGTAGTTTATCGCATTTACATGTATTTGTATTTTATAATAATTATAATTAAGCATAGTGCATCGTGTTTTTATCAATATTAGTTGAGATTTTCACTGTGTACAATTTTTTGTACAGGTGGCTCCACAGGCACAACAAATTGCCTTTTAACACGTTGAGTGCCGCGGTCGACGGGTAGTCGACAAATATTATTCACATATTTATGGTCCTATAGTTCAATCGGTTTTAAGGGCTATCTGTAGTTATTTTGTGAAATTTCTTAATTTAAACAGTGTATTTAGATTTCGTTTTCGTTTATTTTTAGCAATTTTATGGTTATTCTTTTCCTGGAAATTGCCTTTTGATAAGTAATATTTTTGTAAGCTATTTATTAATAGATTTTAATTATCCGATTTTATATAACAATAACAAACCATCCAATAGAATTGTAGTATATATAATAATACAGCATAATATGTATAATATTCATATTATTTATAGTTTACAATATGTAGTTAATTATTTTTCTGTTATTTATAATTCATCAACAACCAACATACTACTATATTTTATATGACACATCAGACAGTATCGAGATTATTAACGTAAACGTTAAACGGTACGCGTGTTATTTGATTACAACAATTAAAATGAATCGTAATGAAATTATGAGTTTATTGTATAATAGTGATGTCGATTCAGATTCGTCACTTTGCGAATTCGATGATGACGTATTTGGCCCCGATTGGGTTGATGACAAAGAAGACGGAAATCAAAATATTTATGAAAATAATGATACTTCTTCTGACTATGAAAGTGACGACGGTATGACAGGTAATAATTGGACAGAACATTTTTATGAACCGCATACCAATGCGCATATAACTTTCAATCCTCATAATTTACCAGTTGGAGTTAACCCTGATCTTATAGAGACATTGTCTTTAGCTAGCCCATTCACATTTTTTTCCTTGTTTTTTGACGAAGAAATTATTAACTTACTTGTAGTTGAAACTAACAAATATGCAAATGATAAACTCAGTGAACCAGGTTTAAGTCGAAACGCTAGATTAAGAAAATGGAAGGATGTTGATAAAACAGAAATAAAAAAACTTTTTGGTATTATTATGTGGATGGGGTTAGTTAAAATGCCTTGTATTTCTAATTATTGGAGTACTAATAAACTGTACAATAGTTATATTTCTTCATATATGTCTCGAAATCGTTTCGAATTACTTTTGAGTATGCTCCATGTTTCGGATAACAGCAAAGCTCGTCCTGATGATCGGTTGTACAAAATTCAACCTCTAATAGATCTATTGGTTCATAAATACAACAGTGCATTAATTCCTGAACAGAATGTTTGTATTGATGAGTCTATTGTGCCATTTAAAGGACGACTTAAATTTCGTCAATTTATTTCAAATAAAAGACATCGATATGGAATAAAAATTTTTAAATTATGTACACGCGATTTTTACACATCTCAATACAAAGTATATGCAGGGAAAGAAGCTACACCAGGGCAATCAGTTTCTTCAAAAGTTGTGATGGAGTTGATGGAACCATACTTGGATAGTGGAAGAGTTTTATTTGCAGACAATTGGTACAATAGCGTTGATATGGCGGAAAAATTATTATGCAGAAATACTCATCTCGTTGGAACACTTAGAGCAAATAGGAAACGAAATCCAACAGGCGTTACTAAGAAAAAAATTTCAAAAGGAGAAACTGTTGCAAAGATCAATAATAAAGGAGTAACTGTGCTAAAATGGAAGGATAAACGTGAAGTACTTATGATAAGTACTAAACATACAAATAAAATTATAAGCGTTGATAGAAGTAGAAAAACTGTTAAACAAAAACCAGAAGTAGTTGTCGATTACAATACTGGAAAGGGATATATAAATCTTACTGATCAGCTACAGTCATATCATTCGGCTTTACGAAAATCGCTAAAGTGGTACAGAAAAATAATTATAGACTTGATCTGTAATATATCTGTACTAAATGCCCTTTCCTTGTTCATTGGTGTAAGTGGCCAAAAAATGAAAATTATGAAATTTCGAGAAGCAATTATTGAAGAGCTTTTACGAAACGATGATGAAGACACACAACAATCTGAATTAATACAGCCACTACCAACACTAGATCATACATTGGAAAAATCTCCGAAAACATCAAGGTGCAAATCATGTTACAGCTTACTGGTGAAAAAAAGAAGACAAACTACCTACTATTTATTTAAATATTTAAAATTTCACACATTTGAATAAAACAATTAATAAATAAAACATTTTCAGGAAGACAAATTGCACAAAAAAAAAAACAAAAAGGATCAAAACAAGATGTAATCAGTGTGATCAAAATTTATGTCCGGAATGTTTCTTCAAGACTCACAAAACAAGAAAATAAAAATAAAATTTTAAAGAAATATAAATTTAAGTAAACGTAAAAGTAATTTTTTTTTCTATAACTCAATTTAGTGTACTTTTTAAATTTTGAAATGAGCAAGGAGCTTTTTATGTAGTATTTGTTAAAAAAAAAGTATATAAAATGTTGAAAAACACAGTAAAAATGAAATTAAAACTAAATATATTATAAGGTTTTAAAAAAATTGTGATATTTTTTCGCTAATTAAAAAAACCAGTTCAGGAGGCTATATAATCAATTTCCCTATACTATATAACGCTTATGTGTTCACATTTCTGTACACGAGGTGTCGGAGTAAAACACAGTGTGAGTACAATTTTTTGTACTCGTAGCGGTTTTGATAAAGTACGAAAAACACCCGTGGCAGTCAACAGGTTAACATATATACATAAAATAGCTGAGAGATTGAATATTTCTATAAATGTGTATTCTATTGATGAGTTCAAGCCAGTAATTATTCCCCTTAAAATAACTAAAATTGAGAAGGAGAAACATATTGATTTGTTGTATTTAAAAGAGAAAAATAATGAGCATTATTGTTAGATAAAAGATTTATGGAAACTAGTAAGACATGCTCAAATCTCCAAATATGGGCATAAACTTTTTCTGTGTATAATGTGTTATGGGCCACCACGTAAACATGTATAAATAGAATTGTGCGTAACACAATATCATAGGTGTTGCACACCTATATTTGATTAGTTGGCCATAAACTAGTAATATATATTTCTAGAAACATGTACATTTAATTAATTAGCCATAAACCAGTAATATATATTAAAAGATGTAATCTATAGAATAATGAAGTAGTTCAAACGAACCTTTCCATACGCCTCCAGCACCACATTTCGAACGCTTCTAATTTTTTCTTTTCGGTATCATTTATTACCCAAGTTTCACATCCATATGTTGCAGCACTCCATAAATATGTTTTTATAAGTCTCTTCTTGATATTAAGATGTATCTTTTTTGAAGTGAGCAACATATGTTTTTTACTAAAGGCAATTTTTGCTAATGCTATGCGTTGTTTAATCTCGTGGACACTCTTGCCATCAGATGTGATTTTACTCCCTAGTTATACCATTTCTTCTACCTGTTCCAGTTTTTGATTACCAATATATAC